CTTGCACCCCTGCTCCTGGGTGGTCAGGCTGGTTCGAGCTATCCTGCCCAAGCCGGACACTTTCCTGTGCCTAGTGCGGAGGTCGTAGACGAGGTCCACGATGTCTGCACTAGCCCAGGCGGGTGCCCACCTCTTGCGGTCCTGGGCAAGCTCCCGGGAGCTGCCAGCCTGGTCCCGGGGAGAGGGGATGGCACGGGCACCGTAGCCAGCCCGTGCCCCTTTAAGGGGTCCGGGGCCAAGAGGGGGGCAGTAGAGTTTCCCTGGTGTTGGCCAGAGTGGCCACCCAGGGAAGCAGGGGCGGGGAATAGAGTTTCCCTGGTGTTGGCCAGAGTGGCCACCAGGGAAACCTGGGGAGGGCTAGCCTCCCACTAGTTCGAATTAAGGGGCTACACACCCCTTAATTCGAACTAGCTAGTTCGAACTAGGCTTAATCCTCGTGGAATGAGGATTACCTAGTTCGAACTAAGCGCTCTGTTAGTTCGAATTAAATTCGAAATAACGGAGCGCTAGTGTAGCGCCTATGAAAGTTAGTTCGAACTAACTTTGTAGTGTAGACATACCCTGATGTATTTATATCTGCACTAATGTTTTCTCTCTGTCTGTGTAGTTCACTGTGCATATTGGGAAGGCCAAGATCTAACTGTAAGTAAGTGTTATGTAAAGATGGGCTAAGGTGGAGAGGGCTCTTGGAAGTGACCACAATTTTTATTTATGTCAAGTCCTTTGCACTGATACACAAAGGAGCAGAAAAAATGAACAAGGACACACACACACACACACACACACACACACACACACACACACACACACACTTTACATGGCAAAAGTTGCCTTTTAGTTTTAAATAAAAATATAGGTCAGTGCTTCTTTTATCTGAGTTGTTTCATCCATTCATAAGATTGTCTGTGAATTACATGAAGTTCTGTTCTTAGGCTAGGTATACTGGAATGTCTTGTTTGAAAAAGAACCACAAAAAACTGCTAACCCCCTTCAAAAAAGCCCCACCTTCAAAAAAACAGGGTTAATGACTCAGATAAGCATATGTGCTTTGTTTAAGTGGCTTGGGGAAAAAAGGAATAGTTGCAGTCTGTGTTAGGATGACTTTAATCATAACACACAAACATCTGGCAGTTGGTTCCTCAGGATCGTGCTTCTGGGGCGGCCTACACTTTGTGACCTTGCATTTTAAATTATGCCAGTTGCAGTGTATACTACAATTGTCTAGACTCAGAGTAAATGAGAATCAGATTCAATAAGGTCTCTTAATTCTTAGTTAGACTCCCCAACTAGCATTACATGACAGGGTATGTCTACACTACCCTGCTAGTTCGAACTAGCGGGGGTAATGTAGTCATCCACACTTGCAAATGAAGCCTGGGATTTGAATTTCCCGGGTTTCATTTGCATGATGCCGGCCAGCGCCATTTTTAAATGCCGGCTAGTTCGGCCTCCGTGCCGCGCGGCTACACGTGGCACGGACTAGCTAGTTCGGATTAGGCTTCCTAATCCGAATTAGCTGTACACCTCGTTCCATGAGGCGTACAGCTAGTTCGGATTAGAAGCCTAATCCGAACTAGCTAGTCCGTGCCACGTGTAGCCGCGCGGCACGGAGTTCGAACTAGCCGGCATTTAAAAATGGCGCTGGCCGGCATCATGCAAATGAAACCCGGGAAATTCAAATCCCAGGCTTCATTTGCAAGTGTGGATGACTACATTACCCCCGCTAGTTCGAACTAGCAGGGTAGTGTAGACATACCCACAGTCATAGAATCATAGGGTAGGAAGAGACCACAGGAGGTCGAGTCCAACCCCTTACCCAAAGCAAGACCAACCCCATCTAAATCATCCCAGCCAGGGCTTTGTCAAAGACCTCCCGGGATGGAGATTCCAACACCTTCTTGGGTAACCCATCCAGTGCTTCACCACCCTCCAAGTAAAATTATTTTTCCTAATATCCAACCTAGACATTCCCCACTACAATTTGAGACCATTGCTCCTCGTTCTGATCTCTTACTACTGAGAACAGCCTAACTCCATCCTCTTTGGATGCCCCCTTCAGGTAGTTGAAGGCTGCCATCAAATCCCCCCTCATTCTTTTCTTTCGTGGCTAAGCCCAAATCCCTCAGCCTCTCCTCATAGGTCATGTGCTCCAGCCCCTAATCTGTTTTGTTGCCCTCCACTGGACTTTCTCCATTGTGTCCAAATCCTTTCTGTAACTGGGGGTCCAAAACTGGATGCAGTACTCCAGATGTGGCCACACCAGTGCCAAATAAAGGAGAATAATCACTCCTCTAGATCTGCTGGCAATGCTCCTCCTAATGCACCCTAATATGCTATTAGCCTTCTTGGCTACAACGGCACACCCTTGACTCATATTCAGCTTCTCATCCACTGTAATCCCCAGGTCCCTTTCTGCCAAACAGCTGCTTAGTCAGTCAGTCCCCAGCCTGTAGCAGTGCTTGGGATTCTTCCATCTCAAGTGTAGGACTCTGCATTTCTCTTTGTTGAACCTCATCAGATTTCTTTTGGCCCAATCCTCCAATTTGTCTAGGTCACTCTGGACCCTATTCCTGCCCTCCAGCATATCTACCTCTCCCCCTAGCTTAGTGTCATCTGTGAACTTGCTGAGGGTGCGATCTAAGTCCTCATCCAGGTCATTAATAAAGATGTTGAAAAAAACTGGCCCTAGAATCGACCCTTGGGGAGCTCTGCTTGATACCCACTGCCAGGCGGACATCAAGCTGTTGATCACTACCTGTTGAGCTCGACAATCTAGCCAGCTTTCTATCCACCTTTCAGTCCATTTATCCAATCCATACTTCCTTAAAGTGCTGGCAACAATACTGTGGGAGACCGTATCAAAAGCTTTGCTAAAGTCAAGGTAAATCGTGTCCACTGCTTTCCCCATAGCCACAGATCAGTTAGCCCAGTCACCCTCTTTTGGGTGCTAGCGTACCCTCAAGACTCTCAACATTATAAAAAAAAATATTATTTCCTCAGAATTAACATTACTGTACCTTAAACTGTCATTAAATCCTTCCACCCCAAACTTGGAAGGACAATAGCCCCCACCCCATACTGCCAGGCGGCCTCCAGTGCTGGATATATTTACTAGTCTCCCTCTGGCCATTTTTACCAAAGGAAGCAAATGTAGCGTAACATTTATCAGGCCAATTAAATTAACTTCAATCGGTGCTCTGAAGTGCTCAATAGTCAACCAGTCTGTCGGCGCTGAGGGTCCCATAATCCCTGCATTGTTGATCAGCCCCCACAGACCTGCACAGAAAAAAAATTAAAGTAGTGATTTAAGAAGCCAGTATCAACCTTTATGTAAAAAAGAGGAGTCAAACTAGCTGAGAATGCATCAAGAACAGTCTAAGAGCCAGCTGGATTACAAGATGGGCAGGACTCATCAATTAGCTACCTCTATATCTCCTGCAGCCTTTACCATCTAACCTGAAGCTTGTATTTCACCGCCATCCTTTGCAGGGCTCTTCACTACTGTGCTAACATTTTCCTTTTATGAGTTTTGAAGGTGGGTAGCTGGGAAGTATGGGAGCTTGGGACAGTTACAAGAATCTCAGTCACTGTTTATGTTCTCTTCTCATGGCTTCTCTTGTAGCCATTTCTGTATTAATAGAGCAGTTAAAGTTGAATTGCAGGACCATTTTAAGCCTCTCTTTTTTTTCGTATGGGTGCTCCATCAAGAAAATATTTATTCCCCAAAGGATCCCGCAAATCCTGGTTTCTCTTTAGTCACAGCTATGCTGTATCTAGTATGATGAAGTGCCTCCTGCCAAAGGTGGCAGTATTAAAACTGGCATCACAGATTTTTAGTTCTAGGAGTTATTGGCCCATTTGCCATCTGCAGCTAAGTGCTTCCTTCCCGTAGCTGCCTGTATATTGAGTTTCTAAGAGCTGAGCTTAAGTTTCTCATTTCTCTTATCTTGCCCAAAAATATGCCCCAACATTCTTCTACTGTACCTGTGTGAAATTGCCAGTATTGAAGATTCCTAACTTTACAAACCCTGAACTGATCTTTTCAAACTTGGATTATTTTTTACATTTTAGTGAAGACTTTCAAACAAGACAAGTCTGAAGTTTCTTTTTTGTGTCAACTGAGTTATGTGAGTTGAAAAGTTGATTTGAGATCGAAAAGTGTATTTCTTATAACCACAAAACTCAAAAACAACTGAACTGTGATAATCCTTTAACATTCAGAAAACAGAAAAAATCGTCTTTTGTATTAAAGCAAATATAGAAAAATATCAGCCTCTAAACAATTTGTTTGAGCAAATTATAAGCAATTAAAAGGGGGAGGGAAACAAAGAAGGAGGTTAGAATGGAAGTTGCATGTTGCAAGTACTAGGTTGCATGGTCCAAAGGGCCAGAAGTCTGTTTTAACTTAACTCTGAGTAGTAGCCCATTGAAATCAAAGAAATCAATCAATCAACATGAGGAATAGTATCAGAATTGTGTCCTGTGAAAGTAGCTTCTGGATAGTTAATATGGGATTGCATGTGAATTATTCATTTATTCCTGGAAAAAAAATTGATCTAGGTGATTAATATGTAAAGAAATAGTTTGTTCAATGAATATTGTCTCTTCCTGTCTGAAAATTGGAGCACTATTTTCAAAAATTCATGTATTATTCAAAATGATCTGCTAAATACATTCTATGAATAATCCTGGGTCTGCCCAGTGTTCATGAGCAGTTTGTTGTGAGTATTCAGTATTCAAAATCTTACATCTGCACATAGCGCTCACAGTATATTTAAAGAGTATAAGAATGGACATATGATTCAGACCAACACTATCTAACTCAAAATCCTGTCTTCTGCCTGTGGTCAGTGCCAGTTGCTTCAGAGGAAATTAACAGAACAGGGCAATTATCAAGTGATCCAGTCCTGTCATTTATTCACAGCTTCTGGCAATCAGAGGCTTAGGAATACCTAGAGCTTGGTGTTGAATCCTTGACCCTCCTGATTGATAGACATTGATGGACCTGTTCTCCATTAAATTATCTATTTTTTAACTCAATTATACTTTTGGCCTTTATAACATATTCTGGCAAGGAGTTCCACTGGTTGATTTTGTTGTGTGAAGAAGTACTCCCTTTTGTTTCTTTAAAAAATGCTGCCTATTAATTTCATCAAGGGATTCCTTGTGTGATGTGAAGGGATAAATAACACTTCCCTATTCACTTTTTCTGCACCATTCATGACTTTATAGATTTTTCTCATATCCCTTCCCCCTTAGTTATCTCTTTTCTAAGATGTTCTGCTCCTAGACAGGGGTCTTCATTCTGCAAAGTGCAGAGCATTCTGGCATTGATCCAGCAATGCACTTAATGATGTGCTTAGCTTTAAACACATCAGCACTCCCATCAAAGTCAATGAAATTTGGTTTCCATTGTGAATATTTGTCTACTTTCCAACACCATGCTTCAGTATTCACCTAAAATCAGTATCTGCAAAAATTCCTTCTAGCGAAGTCACCCACTGGAATATTTGTGGAAAGGGATACAAAAGAGACAATCCAGCCAGACACAAATTTAAAACAAATGTTGCAGGGGATCTATTTTTCAGTATTTATCCAAGCATGTTAAACAGTTGCAGTTCACATTGGTATAAGCTCTCCTTGGAGTTTCTCAGCTCCTGGAACTTTGGACAGAGCCTCTTAGGGTTCCTACTCTGTGGACTACAACAGCAATGGCTACAAGAGACCTCTGACACCATTTCCGTGCTCGGAGTCAGTGAGGGGGATAGTAGAACAGTTTGGCCTCAGCAAGAATTTCTAATCAGAAGGGTGCTGGATGAGCTGATATGGACCAGCAATTTACTGGCCGGCATTGCTCAGCCCTTCAGTAGGGCTATGTCCTTGACTCAGAAACAAAGAGGCCCGTTTTCGTTTCAGTTTTGAGTTTGGGAGCTGAGCAAGAAGCAGAGCAGCTCAGGGGATCTTTGATTAACTTCCTCTCCCACAAGGGAGAATCTTTGAACTCCTGTGGAATCTAGCCTCATGGGTAAGGTGGTTCCAGCCCAGGAGAGACCACAGTCCAGAGTGGCAGAGGTCCAACCCTCCAAGGCCTCTCTTGCACTCCTGACCAGGATAAAAACACTTTAGGAGGACCATTTTTTTAAAGTTGGCTAATAGTGCTGCAACACTCTTCTCCAAATTCATTCCCTACCTACTGCCTACCTGGGACATGCCAGTGGGGGGCTGGGAGATGTGCATGTCAAGAGGTGGGGAATTGGTTGATTTACTCATGTTTTAGTACTTCTTAGTCAACCCTAAATCTTCCCTTCCACAAAGCCTATTTTCCTGCTCCCAATAAAGTTCACTGTTTTCATATTTTGATTTTTGGGTGTGTGATTTCTGTACTGGGGTTTATGGTCAAGTATTCAATTGTTTTTCATGTGCTAGGTTTTATACTTCTTGCTAGCAATGATAGTATTAATGCTCTCCAGGGTCTGCAGCCTTGTGTCACTGGCACAGAGAGGAATCATCCTGGGTGGAGTCACAAGGCATCTCTACAAAGCACTCAGGACAAACCCCATGTGAGGAGAGGGCAGAAGTCTGTCGTTCCAAGAAGCAAACATTGAAGAGGAGATGGTATGAGCTAGACCTCAGGGGTGGGGTTACATAGGAAAGAATTCAGATTTTCTGACACTCACCTGCTGACCCCACTTCAGCTTTAATCCACTCAGCCACCTTCCTAACATTGTCTGGATTGGTCACATCCAGCAGCACCGTTTGAAGCTGCTCTGAGGTTGCTTCTTTTAAATCCAGTGCTCCTGCTTCAGTCAGACAACTGGCAAGAACTCGAAATCCTTTCTCATCAAAAGTCCTTGCTGCCAGATTTCCAAATCCCGAGTCACAGCCAGTGATGAATACGTATTTGTGTGAGAGATCTTGAATCTTCTGCCCATCTTGTGCCCTCCACCTCCACCACAAATAGAAGATAGCCAGAAAGAAGAGTACGCAGATAAACATTTCCATGAAAGACTTCTGGTCCCCTTTCTCCTGAAATAGAAAGAACCAATGAAGGGAGGCTTTCCCCCACTTTTCTTCTGAGTTCATTTAAACAGGAGAGGACACAGCTCTGTGAAGTGGCTTCCTGAGCATTCTGCAGCTGTAGGATTAGTGCTTGTATTAAAATGAGAACCAAAGCGAATATGGGAAAAAATTAAGATAAGATTCTACAGAATGAAAGGACACTTGGATGCTGCTTCCTCTTTTCATAGCCTCACCTCCAAAAAAAGATATAGTTGAGATGTAAAGGATCTAGAGCAGGGTAGCACAAATGAAGGCTGGAAAGAGACTGACGGGATTGGGCTGCACTCACCCCTGGTTTCGTACAGGTTGAACCTCTCTAATCTGCCTTCCTAGAGAGCTGCCCAGAAATCTGATGCCCTGGGCTCTTTCCTCATTTGCCTATAGCCAGAATAGCCTCTGTTGTGTGTATGCTAATCTTCATGTAAATATCTTTGGTGGAAGGAGTGCAGCCTCTTGCACTGCAAGGTGTTGCATACAAATGTTGCAGAACAGGATACATGTACGTGCTAGTTTGTGTTGCTTAATTTTGCTCTCCTCTCTGACTTCAGTTGTGGGGAGAGGATACTGAATTAGATGAACAAATGCTTGCTCCCAGTGTGGTAAAGCAGATTTCCTTTGTACGGCAGAACCCGGAGTTCTAGTATGTCAACTTATGTATACACCAAAGAATGTTGCATTTGCACTGCTTTTGTCAGAGTGGAATATTGACTCATGTAGTTCTGAACTATAATTTCTTCTGTGACCTTTATTCTGATTAAGTTCTCTGGAAAAATAATGCCGACTTATCATAGCAGATGGGTGAGGCACTGCTTGGGCGCGAAGACAGCTACATAGAGTACATACTTTAAAGCAGAGGCGAAGAATTTTTTTTCAGTCAAGGGCCACTGACCCACTGAAAAAAATCAAACAGAGCCCAAACACAAGAAAAACAAGCAACCAACAACCAAAAACCACACTCACTACCCACCTGCTCCCAAGGGAGAGTCAAAACAAAACAAAACAAAACCCCCCAAACCAAACCCCTCACTACTCATTTGCTCTCAGTGCTCTCAAGGTGGGAAGTAAAAAACCAGCAATACCCCTCACTCACACTTCACTCCATGTGAGGCTCAGGGCTTCCCCCTACAGTGAAGGGAGCTGGTGCTCACGGGCCAGCCCCACTGAGAGGGAGCGATGCCAAGACGCAGGTCTTCCAGCCCTCCATGTGGGCACTTACTGTGGGCTGAATCAAATTAAGCTGGATGCAGACCATGAGCCATAGGTTCCCAATCCCTCCTCTAAGAGTATGTTTAGATAACAGTTAAACACCCATCGGTGGACTGCGTCAGCTGACTCAGGATTACGGGGATCAGGCTGCAGGGCTCTTTAACTCAGGTATAGATGTTATAGGGTTTGGGCTGGAAACAGGCTTTGAGCCCTTGTGAGGACCCCAGAGCCCAGGATTCTGTCTGAGCCCAGACATCTGTATTAACCGTTCCATTATGTGAGCCCTGCAAGCCTGTGCCAGCTGACACGGGCTAGCTGTGGGTGTTTAATTGCAGTGTAGACATACCCTAAGATTCTAATGGGTCTCTGCTCACCTAAGCTGTGCCTCACCCTCTGCTCTAGTATTTTTGCCTATGCTGTGGGGTTGAGGAGGCCATACCGAATATGTACTCTACTCATTGCCATCAGTAGTGTGCCAGGTAAACAACCCTCAGCCAACCCTTTTCTTTTTAAAAAACAATTCTGTCATTTTGACTTTTGTCTCCAGTTTGGAATGGAAGGTTATTTTGAAATGTCAAAATTCCCTGTGAAAGGAAAATTCCATTTTTATATTGCTGTAGTCAGTACCTTTATGTTTCTCTGCAGAGTGTATTTTTTATCAGTGACACCACATGAAAGTAAGCTGGCTTTGTATAAAAAGCTCCCTACCAGGCTCATGAGTTGTGATAGAACCGATGATGTTTCTGGACCATAAGCACAGACTTACACCCTTTGATTTGATGGAGTAACTCCACTACCTGCTGGTGTTAGTAGACACATTCCTTGCATGTGGGCACTCACAAGCAGGAGACAAGCGCACACAGATTTAGCCATTGTATTGTGGTTACTGAACCTAGCAGTTCAAATAGGAAAGAAAGAAACAGCACACACATATAAAAAAGAAAATTGATTCTTATCTGCACAGCCGTTTTTCACTTGCAGCAAACAGTATCTTACAGAGAGTCAACCCCCTCTCTTTCTCTAGCTTGCAAATTTTTCTTAATGCTCAACCTACTTTCTTCCGTTCTCCTTGAGGTGTTTATTCTTCTTCTTCTCCAAAATCATGCACTGATGAAGGAAAAATGTTATAAATATGTAGCAGCATCTCACAAGACAAACATGTCATTTCCGTTTTTCAAAAGTAAAACCTCAAAACAAGGAGAGAGTAGAACCTATTCTGGACAAAGTGAATACTAAATCTCTCTAGAAAATGTCCTGTGAATACCAAGAAAAAAAACCAAGAGATATTTTTATGGTACTATACCTGAATCAGCAGGAGCTTCGAAGCACTTTCTGCACATAGCCACACTTCAAGAATCATGTATTTGTGGCAAAGTTGTGTTAATGGTGTTACTCCTAATCCAAACTGAGAGCAATTTTTTTGGAAGCATAGCAAGTAGATTAACTCTCTGCCTCTCAGTGAGCTCATATGAGAGGGAGAGAAAGAGTATCCCGTTAGCACTCAAACTTTCAAAACCATCTGAAAGTCTTTCCAACTGTAAAAGGCAAATTTATCACAGAACTGGAAATACTTACAAGTAGCTCTAAATGAATCAGATTCAGAAACATTAATTATTCCCTTATATTTCTAAGGTTCCCATGTAAAGAAAAGTTTGAGCAGACTAGATAAAATGCTTACATGAAAAATTTTACTCACGCTTGATTTAGAAGAGATTTGATCTCCAGGAGATAGTCATTGCCTTGTTTCTCTGTCGTCCCTGTGTATGTGTTTACTGTGTGGAATTAATTTCACAAGTCACTTGTCACAAACAGCAGCTCTTGGTCCTTAGAAAGTTAAATGAGCTTTGTTAATGTTTGTACCTTATTATTGGGTCATGATTGCTATAAGAGCCATGCTGGGTAATATATTTCACCTGTGCACTCTGAAAAGAACCAGAACTTCTCAGATAGTGTAGTGACATGGGTGGAGTAATTGCTTCAGTGGGTGGCAGCTTTTGGTTTCAGTGGTTTTGATTTGATCCTAACAGAGCCACACATAGAACTTTCTGGGTATGTCTACACTACAAAGTTAATTCGAACTAACGTCCGTTAGTTCGAATTAACTTTGATAGGCGCTACACTAGCGCTCCGCTAGTTCGAACTTAATTCGAACTAGTGGAGCGCTTAGTTCGAACTAGGTAAACCTCATTTTACGAAGACTAAGCCTAGTTCAAACTTACTAGTTCGAATTAAGGGGTGTGTAGCCCCTTAATTCGAACTAGTGGGAGGCTAGCCCTCCCCAGCTTTCCCTGGTGGCCACTCTGGCCAACACCAGGGAAACTCTACTGCCCCCCTCCCCGGCCCCGGATCCCTTAAAGGGGCATGGGCTGGCTACGGTGCCTGTGCCAGGTGCAAGCCTGCCAG